CCTCTGAATCCTCCAGCAAAACCTTGAGACCATTCTTGAAGCGCGCGCGAGAGAGACCAACATACAGCTGACCATGGGTAAATACCGGTTTTGAGAGACATAAGCCGACTGTTGCGAGAGATTGCCCTTGTGCCTTGTTAATTGTGAGAGCAAGACCGACTCGTATGGGAAATTGACTACGACGCAAGGTGAAAGGTAGGTTAGAGGATTTTGCTGTGTCGAGTTTGATACGCGGGATGAAACACTTATTCGAATGGAAGTCGCCCCCAAGAATGCACCCCTCGATAACATTTGGTAGAAGACGTGTCACATAGATCCGAGTACCGTTGCAAAGACCTGCAGCTGGATCCAAGTTACGAAGTAGAAGAACTGTTCCCCCAACTTTTACAATTGTCTTGTGAAGAGGGAATCCGCCAATTGTGATTGAGTTGAGATATTCAATTGGCCAGAGTTGCTGATTCAAGGGTCGAGCACGCGGGTTCAAAGCACCATCATTCTCAACGATCCAATCTGCACTGAGGTATGTCCGAGATTCCCCACTAAGCTCGCCAAGGAGGGTCTTGTTCAACTCATCGACTTCAGCGTTGGTTGGAGCAAGAACTGCACGGTCTGCAAAGTACTGAAGAGCAGCTTCTGTTGTCGGAAAGCTCTGAGCCAGGTTGGGATAGACATGCTGCAGCAATTCGTTTGTCGACTCCACCCGCAAATCCGGAGGTATTCTCAAAGCGTCCGACTGTTCCCCATCTACTAAACCATCCCCTACCCTGAGAAGCCACTCCGCAAACCCACTTGCTTCCTCCCTCTCAATGTCAGACATCTCTGCACTCTGGAGCCGCATGTTGATAGTAAGTTTGAGCCGTTTTACCTTCTGCCACAGACGTGAGCTGGTCAAACATGCGCTTTTGATCTGCGCTTGACTCCCTTTTGGCACCACCGGCAAACACTGTCGAAAGTCTCCTGCAAATACCACTACTGCCCCTCCAAAAGGCTCTTCAGATCCCCGCACATCCCTCAGCATGCGTTCTACTGCCTCTGCACAGTGTCGATGCTGCATAGGCGCCTCATCCCATATGATCAGCCTGGTACGCAAGAACAGCTTTGCGAGTTCACTCTGTTTTGAGATGCTGCACTGGGAGTCGCCATGAATGTCGATTGGAATTTTGAACCGGGAATGGGCTGTGTGTCAACTCTGCACTCAATGAACTAAACATGGCTCACCTGTACGGCCACCCTTTAGAAGGATTGCACATATACCTGAAGATCCAACCATCAAGACAATGTCACCTTCCGCTCGCAAAACCGCTGCTACTGTGTTCTCCACAAATGTCTTGCCACAACCACCTGGACCATCAAGGAAAAAGCACGCGGATGTCCGAGCCCTGGCTGCCTGAACTATGTCGTTGATAACTGTCTGCTGTTCCGGATTGGCAATGGCCATGTTGACAGTGCTGGTTTGTTGCAATTCACCCCTGTTGTAAGCCAGTTCTTCATTGATAATGCGACTATCATTGTCTTCCGGAAACACAACTGTTGGTTCAGGAAGATAACACCCAGCCAGACTCTTCCCCCTCTCTTCAAGCAGACCCCCCAGGAGATGTAACGCGTAGGAGAGCCGCTCCTCCACACTTGGGTTCTCCATCCATCCCTTCTGCCGGAGCAGGTGAACACAATCATCACTCAACGCCATTGAGTGTGTCTCCCACAGGTCCGCCGGGCTGGAGGGTTGATTTTCCACCAAAATGATCACAAATAGTCGACGTAGCTGAGATCCTGAGGCATATGTCGCAGCTTGGGTAAGGCATTCATCCAGATCACGATCGTCATCAAGTAGGCCAAGGGCAACACAGGCGGCTCGAAAGGTCGGATGCAGTGTATGATCAACGGTACGGAGACTTTCAAAAGATGTCGGGCAGGGAACATGATAGAGCAGAAGTCGCAGATAATAGAGCTCCCCAGATTGAGGACCCGCAAAGTACACTCTCCCAATAGCTGTTCCACGTTTCCGAGGCTTCCAAGCACGTTCCGTAGTGTGCCAACAAAGTAATTCTGGTATGTCGGCATATATCTTGTCACGGAGCAACTCTGAATAGGTCTCGCAAGCTTTGAAGTATCCCAGTAATCGACTGTTCCGCTGAAGTTCCTGTGGCAGATTTGCACGTTCCTCTTCAGGCACAAATTGCACTTGATCTTCATCTGGTAGATGGAGCTGAAGTCGTTCCACAGGAGGAAAATGGCCATGCATGGGATTACCGCTAAGGCGCCAAACAGCTGATGGCATATTAGCTAAGCAGTAAAATTGAACTATGACTCACCCTCAGAGGCAGAAACCCAGCGTGCATCAATGTAGCGGTTGATCTCATCAAGATCCACTTGATTGGGAACCACCGCCACATTTGCTCGATCATGTCCCTTGTAAACATATTTGAACATATACTTCACTGCACTGATTGAAGTGCAAACCTCTACATTGATGTGTGCATTAAATCGAGCCGATAAATAGGGATTGTAGGGAACCACGTGTTGATTGGTGTATGTTATGCGGTTCTTTGTCCATGACCGCCCATTATCTCGTCTTCGGTAAATAGGGTAACCATCCTGTTCCATTGTTGTCTCCGGTTGAAAAGCCCAGGGGAACTTCTTTGAACATCGGCCATCACGACGCATCTGGGCTTGGCATCGATCACTACAGGTATGCAGCATACATGACGTAACAACCTTGAAAAGCACAGGCTGAGTCTCCTCACAGGGGAGTTCAGCACATACAATCTTGTCAACATCGGCGGGTGTGCGAGGCTTATCATCTGGTGCCAGGCACATGAGCAGATGACAATGCGGAAGCCCCCGTTTTTGAAATTCGATCACCCAGATCCTTGCAACCACCTTCAGATCAGTAAACTCTCAGCAGGAAATGATCAATGGAGCTCACCTTTCCCAATACTCCCAATTTGAAAAACTCGTTCAGCATAGCGTCAAGCTTGAGTGCAAACACTCTTGAGACCAAATCGGGGCGATCTTGGGCTGTCTGTCCTGGTTCCAACTCCTGAGTGATCTCCGGCCAAGTGGGATTGCAGGTGATTGTTACAAATAGGTCAGGCTTTGTCACGTGTGAGACAATAGCCATGGCGTCCTGGTACAGGGCGTGCATCTGACGTGGGGACCCGGCAAAGGTTGAGGGGAGCACCACTTTTTTTCCTACATCAACCAAAGGAATCCCAGCATCAACTGCGTCCACCAATCCCTTGTAAGATTCAGCTCGGAGAGTGGTTTGATTCTCTCGGATCCATCGCAGACGGTTTGATTCGGTCTGGGCCCACTGATCAACCAATAATTCCTGAAAGAGTCGTCCACAGTAGAGGGCAGTATTGAAATTGTTGTTGCGTTTGAACAGGTAATAAGTCGCATACTGTGCTTGAGTAACTCGCTTTGATCCAGCACGCCCAGTCCTCCGAATGTCTTCTGCCAAACCCCCATCCCCTGCATTGCCATCAGTGATCTCATCATCCCCCCTAAACTCCTCATTCTCAACCAATGGTTGTCCTGCTAACGGAATTTTTGGATGCCAGCCGGGCTCGCCGTGTGGGTAGATGAGCGTGAAGTGCAGGGGAAGGTATGCTGAGTGAAGTTCACTAATGTTGCGAACCCCACCACCTCGCAGATAAACTTGAATGTGACGACCCGGGGATGGTTCATTCTCATCGGCAACATATACACATGCAACTTCATCTGACGTAGGTCGGTTGTATCGGCGAGGGTCGTTTTGCACAGGATTTAGAACCGTAAGATACAGAATCGGTGTGTCCTCTTCAGATTCCCTGTCTCGGTCCCGGAAAGTCTTGAAAGCAGCATAGTAGGGGTTCACCCTCTCTATCATTTGAGCCAGGCGGGTCAGAACACCCTCTTCACCTCTCCCTCGGATGTGGATGTTTCGCTGAGCAGCCTGTTCTGCTTCGGACAGACCCGCCAGGAAGACTTGAGCAAATCGGGGCTGTTTGCCGGCTTCAGGAAGTAATGACCCGATTTGGTGGTACGCTCGTCCACCAATACGAAAGGTGTAAATCCCTTGAGGTCCCCAAAC